CCCCCCCCCCCCCCCGAAAAAAATGTTCTTTGCCAAAAGACATCCCTCATATATAAAATTTCAGGCAGAAATAAGAGCTTTCTTCAAGGAGAAGGAAAATTCTGGCTCATGTTGTTCATAACAGTAATTGTCTCACGTTAACTAGGAAGTTTCTACCAAAGCTCACAATAAAGTATATTCCAGATGGTATGGAGGGTACGTTTTCACAGATATGAGTGGAAGGAACAGGATGAGTACAAATACCATGAAATAATGCATCCATATAAAAATACCAGTTGGGAGCTCTTTTCAGTAGTGATTGTCTTTTATTTTATATTTGTCTAGCACAAGGAGGTCCTAATTAATAAAAAAGGAAAAAAATAAAGTCTGAGGTAGTTAGATTGTGACAAAGTAGCATTACTGTGGAAGTAAGAACAGAATTAGAACTATTTTCTAATGAGCTCTGTCCCTCATATTGACTGTTTTTCTATGCTGAGATGCCAGTGAATTGGGATGTACCCTCTCTTTCTTGCCTACTAGAAACCTGCTATGATAATCAGTCTCAAAAGTGTACTTTAACAGACATTTTATCTTCATGAAAGAAGATTTATTAAGTTAACAGCAATGAATGAACTGCTTATTATGGTAGCTAGGTGCTTCTGAATCATAATAGTAAATTTTCTGCATTATGGCAGAATATTACGTATTTTCTAGTCCCATGTTATTCATCTAAAACCAATGCTATTTTTGCTTTCCATATTAAACAGTTGTTGAAGTGTTTAATTACCTGTCTTATGCTAGTCAAGTGATATTATTTTGACATTATACTTCTAAATGTTTCCTACTGCCACCAAACATTCATTTAATTTGTATAAAGTATTCAGAGTACGTCATCTCCCCGATTCCACAGCTTTGGTACTGTAATGTATACATATGTATATATAATGTATATATAATATAGGGTCATTGGCTTAGGCTACTTCCGTGTCTTATAATACAGCTCGTTTCACTGTAACCAGAAGATGCAAGTAAAGGAAAATTTAGTAGATGTTTAGTTTATATTATATATACAATTTTGAAATAAGGGCCTGATGCTACTTTCTCTTAAACCTAGTAGCAATACTCCCATTGCTTTAAGGGAAAGCAAAATTGTAACCCAAATATGTCGTGAATTCTGACTTCAGTAACTTGATCTTCCTCTAAGGCAGAGGCATGTGGTAGCAAAGAGTGATTAAGGTGTATTTCTGTGGTTCCAAAGGTTTGAATTTGAACCTTGTTCCAAGCTTGTGCTAAAGCCTACCCCTACTCCAGGGGTCAACAACTTATGGCTTGTGGGATAGGGCCCATCTGATCCACCAACACAGGGCTTCAGTGGTATTTGTTCGCAGAGGGCTTCAGCAGCAGTCGCTTTCCCATGCTGGTATGAAGAAAAATCACTGGCTGTTGGCATTTTTCCCTTGTGGCTCCAGGGAAAAGCAGCAGTGGCAGTTGGGTCACGGCCCACCCCCCTACCTACCCAAACTGACCCAGACTGGATCAATCAGACCTACAGACTGAAAAGATTGTCGACTGCTTCCCTAATCAGCTAACCTGACAGCATAGGGGTACATGGTCAGTCAGGCTGGAGAGCTAAATGTGCTATTAGCTAGATGAGCTGTTAGCTGGAGATAACCAGTGAGCCACACCATGGTAGCATGGTGGTCTCCTGGCTCAGGCAGGCATTTAACCTTTTTTTGACAAGGCCAGAAGTCCTGCTAGACTTGTTGGCTGAGTGTTATTCCGTGACTATATAAGATGGCAATTTTATATCTAGTGAGAGAA